GGAGACTGCGCGACGAGTGCGCGGAGACTGCGCGACGAGTGCGCGGAGACTGCGCGACGAGTGGTGGTAGTGGTACCACATCTACGACTATAACGAACTATCTAATATCACTTGCTTCAACGTACAAAGCGATCGAAGCGAAATAAAATTTACTAAAAACAACAAACGTAAAATAAAATCCATATAAAACAAACGACAACCCAAATTGACTAAAACAAAAATTCGGTTAGAAAAGCGAGCGCTCGGCTCCGGCGCGGGACAGCGCGACCCAGCCCGGGCCAGCACGCGACCGCGCCGCCTCACTGCCGCCCCACTGCCGCCGCACCGACACCGCACCGACACCGCACTCACGATGCCGCACATCCACGCATATCATTACTACTTCTTACAAAATAAATTAGCATTCTCTGACAATAATTATGAAACGGCGCTTCTAAAATTTTTAACAATAAAATGCATACAAATAACCTTTCTTATTCTATGTCCAGGTTGCGTGGCGAGCGCTGCCGGCTCTGCACCTCGCGGTGTGCGGTGGACGCAGTGGTGACGTCGCTTCTACAGAATGCAACCGACGTCGTTCGCGCAACTTATAATAAGTGGAAAGTTTGAGATCATCATTCACATGCTAAATCCTGCGCCGGGACGTCGCTCGGCCGCCTCCTTCTCCGTCTCAGTCTCTCTTTCGATGATCGGCTTGATTACAACCGATGAGGCGGCGCGTGACGTCACCCGCTACACGCTGCTTGCGCGCTGACACAATCCGCACACGAGGCGGCGCGGGGGTGGGGGCGGGGCACGGCGCCGGGCAAGAGGGCGGCCCTAGATGATGGCACTCCTTTTGAGTTTCGATAAGTCTAATGATATCTTGATGGAATATAAATATCTTGAAAGGTGTTCGCTTGCGCTTGCGGAGAGCGGCGTCGAGCGGCGGAGTGCGGGGCGGGGCGGCGCCTACCGCACGCCGGCGGTGCCCAGGCGATGGTGCGCGGTGCCGGGACGCACGCGCGAGCTGGCGCGCCGTAGCTCCGGCTCCTTCTTGAGCACCGTGTCCCCCTGCGCCTGCACCTGCGACACGTACGGGTATGAAGGTCGCGGTGTCGTGCAGGGGCGCGGGGTGGCGGGCGCGGGGCGTACCTGTGCACGAGGCGGGGCGTGGGGCGGGGCGCGGGGCGGCGGCGGCACGTAGCGGCGCGCGGTGGGGGGCAGCGGCAGCGGGCGCAGGTCGAGCAGGTTGTCGGGGCGGCGNCGCGCGGGCGGGGCGGGGGCGCGGGCGGCGGCGCAGAGCGGGCGGCGCGCGGGGGCGGCGAGGGGCCGGAGGGCGAGGGGCTCGGCGCCGGCGTGGGGCGGGAGGTGCCAGGTGTCGGTGTCGTCGTTGTACTGGAGGCGGAGGACGTGGGCGCGGCCGGCGTGCGGCACGAACCCGTCGGCCAGCAGCAGGCGGCGGCGCAGCGCGGCCAGCAGCGCGGCCTGCAGCCCCTCCTGCTCGCGCCGCTCCGCGTCGTGCGCCTCGCGCTGCTCCACCATCTCCTCGCGCAGGCACGCGTACTTCGACAGGCACTTTTTTAACCTGAAAGAGGAAACACGAGGACGTTACGAGAGGCATACGGCGGAGGGAGGCGGGGTCGCGGGAGGGCGGCACCGACCTCTGCGTCTTGTGGTCGACCTCTTGCTGCAGCGTGGCGAAGGTGTTGGTGACGATGGCGGTGGTCTCCTCCTCCAGGTCTATCTTCTGCTGCATCTCGACCTCGCGCTTCTTGCGCTCGGCGATCTCGTGATTCCTCTGGTCGAGGATGAGCTGGCTGCGCGTGAGGTTGTTGAGCAGGTCCTTGCCGGCGCCGCCTCGCACCAGCCGCTCCTCCAGCGCAAGGATCTGGCGCTCCAGCTCCGAGGTCTTGCTCTTCTCCTGCTCGACGGCCGCCGTGGACTCCGCCAGGATGTGCTCGTGCTCGATACTCACCGCCTCCTCTTCCGCTGAAACGGAACGAGCGATGTTACTACTCTTGAAGGTATTCGAGAGACACGCGAGGAGCGCTCCTCGGCCGCAGAGGTACCTGAGAGTGGGGGGTCGGGGGGTTCCTGGGCGCGGGGTCGCGGGGGGCGCTTGCGGCGCTCGGCGGCGCGGCGCTGCTCGATGAGGGCGCGCAGCCGCTCGATCTCCGCCTGGTACTCGCGCAGCTTGGCGTCCTTGGGGTCCTCGTTGCGCACCGGCTTGTTCTTTATCGCTGCAAACATCGCTCGGTGTCATTGGGGCGGGGTCGGGGGCGGGGTCGGGGGCCGGGGCGTGGGCGGGGGCGTACCTTTGGCGCGGTGGGCGTAGCGCAGCGTGGTGACGGTCTCGTCGTAGTGGTGCGCGGCGGGGCCGATGTTGGCGATCATGATGGTCTTGCTGTTGCCGCCGAGCGAGTCCTGCAGGATGCGGGTCAGCTTGGAGTCCCTGCACAGAGCGGGGCGGCGGCGCCTCTCAGCACAAGGGCGGGTCGCGCAGGACGCACGAGCTATTTGCGCAATGTCTCAGCGTGCACCCGCCATGTCGGCACCATGTCGGCACCATGTCGGCGGCTCTTTGTACTCTACATAATCTTTTCTACTGCATTCATTCTGCTGTTTACTATATTTTTTGTCAAAGCGCTGTTCGATATATAAACGCGTGTCCACAAAAAAGAACTCTGTGAGATAAGATACAGGTATATAGATAGATAGATAGATGTAGGTATGTGTAACACGATACAGTGTGTGGATCGCAAGCGAACAAAAACTGCAGACCAACATACCTCAGTGTCCACTTTCTTCGAGAATCAGTGTTACGCAACAACCAAACGTGCAGCGTTAAATTGTTTGACATAACGAGTAACACGCGCAAACTTATACATTATATTATATTATATTCATTTACGAGTAAACAACAAGAACAACATTACAGTGATGTCAACAGTATAGTCTTTTGTCCTCGCTTATTCTGTTTTAAAACTTCCGCGCAAACGTCGCTCAATAGGTTCATTGTCCCGAGACCATTTGCTATTTTACAAAAAGTTCTAAATTATATCCTAATAGAACCATCTAGATAATAGAACGATACATTTTGTCATTTGGAATGTGTGAAAACCGAAGTGTTGTACCTCGGTGCTCTGACCGTCAGGATGCGGTGTTATGTTTCTAGTCACCGACATTAATTATGTGAAGGTGGAATTACACTGTCCAAACAACTATACAAAACATATTGTCAACCCTCACATGGTCTGTTTTTGTGCAGATGTTTCGTTGGTGGAAACCTGCGCTTAAGGAGCAATTGTAGTCCGACACAAGCAGTACTCGGACATGTACTATTTCAATATGAACATGACATTTGCACACATACAATCTAAGCAAATTGTTAACATCTACTCTGATGATAATTAGATAAACGCAGGTGGAGAGTGACATCTGCAGAATGCATGTGGTGGTCGTGTGTTGGGCGAGTGGTGGTGGGGTGCATACCTGTAGGGCACGTG